CTTGTCATGTTTAGAGATGTAAAATTTATTTTTAATACATAGTTTTCTTTTGTGTGTGAGTGTGTTCTACGTACATATTGAATTATTGAAATAACTCAACCACCAATGTACTAATCATGGTACCAATCATTACCAACAATGTGCACTAAACTGAAACAAGTTAGCTAACCAGCATGTTGAAAGCCTGCAGAAAATCAGGAGCGCTCTTGCTCAGAAGTTCCAGGGTTTCATTGGGCAACTCTATAAAAACATTAAACAAAACACATGATGAGGTTAAACCTACTAAAAAAAAAATCTGCAGCACTGCTTTGTATGCTGAGCTTTTTTTGTCTGTAACTTCCTCTTACCTTCCATGGCACTGACCAACAGGTGCGCTGCATTTAGGGTGCTTTCAGTGGGACTCTCTGCACTGGGTTGCTCTTCTTTTGGGGTCCCATTGTGTATTTCATTGCTACACAAATCTTCAAGCTGACATAGAAAAAGGGCTTCAGATTAGAAGGAAAAATAAATAAATGAATACATTTTAGGATGCTGTGGTTACACATTTATTCACACAACCGCGAGACAGATTATTTTAGCCAACTGGCTAGTGGTCACCACGAGCATCTGGTCTACAGGGCATTACCAGTTTCACTCACCACAAGCTGCAGATATGACAGAGCAGCTCTGTCATTCAGAGTTTCTTGGAGCTTCTTGAATAAAGCCCATCGGGTCGGCTGGGGGAGCTTTGCCAGAGGAGAAAGGACTTTTTCCTGCGATTCTGCAACAAACCAGAAGATACTATTTGTTTATTATCGATTATTATAACCATGTGACTGCTGTTCTTTCATATTGTCATAATCATTTTTTTAGGTATTACAGCTAGTTTTAGTGGCAGTGTTTACTACTGAGGAAAGTCAGCTCAGCTATAATGTTTGAGAATAAACCACAAAATGCAACGGCATAGGCAACGTTTCACTGAGACGGATAAAATAACAGTTGTATTTGGGACAAAAAGGAACCTTCCTCAGTTTGCCATAAGTCTACTGTGGTTCATTTGTTATATTTTTTTCCATCAACAAGTAATTGTGTGAATGTATGAATGAAGGGACAAACCATTATGAAGTGCAATAAGGGGTGCTTTCTGTGGAACCTTCTGCTCGTTGCACTTTCCATCCACTGTGTCGAAGCTATCATCAGAAGGCCAGGACCTCGAGATGGAGTCTGACTCAAACCCTCCAATTGCACCAGGTTGTAGACATATGTCTGAAAAATACAGAAAACATCATAAACACATGGGCAAACACATATCACACACAAATGTTATCTGATTATTGAGTGTGTAAACAGAAGAACTTACTGTTGCTATTATATCCTCTAACCATGTTTGCCTATCTATCACTAACACTTCTCTATTAAGTAGATGGCAGCTACATGTGTTACTATAATTACAACAATCCCTGACGAGCATGTACACCCTCATTAACCTCTCCTGTCTCTAACAGCAGTACAGTACCTGTAAGCGAGCATTTCATCCGTGGCAGGGGAAATGGCCAGAGGACAAACAGACCGACAAGACTGTTGATTGAATACAACCTGCATCATTGCTTCATTGTTGTAAATACTACCGCTGCCATCTTGGAGGCTGCTGTAGGATAGTTGTCGGAAGCTCACCTGGGCATTCCAGGCAATATAAGCTAGCCCCAAGAGGAAACTAAAAAAATGCAGCCAACATGGAGTCGCAGTTTCTGAAGTTGCACTTGAGGCTAGTTCCAAACATGAGTCAATCCCTATAGACTGCCATTATAATCACACAAATATCAGCAGGGTTACTTCAGGCCATTGAAGCAATGTGTGTTTAATCAAAGCAGAGACCGTAGAAAAGCTATGATATCCATGTAAAACCTTTGCCACACACAGCAGCAGTTTTTCAGTGATTTGGTTGTATGTGTGGTCAGTGAGGTCACACCAGAATGTTAAAGTGATATTGTCATTCTCACGTTCATAACCACACATGTGGTTTACCACACACACTCTCACTCACACACACTCACAGTATTGTCCGTCTTTTTTAACCTCCAGTTCCAGGATGCTGTACGCGATGACTGTACCAGAGGGGATCTCCACAGAAACATCGCTGTCTATCTCAATGCTGTTGCTGTCCCTCACACACACCTGGGAGCACACATATACACACACATGTAGGATTAATTAAGGAAGGCTGACTGATTTCTTTTTTCTTATATTTTTGGGGGGCATAAACAGAATTTCACAAATTTATGGTGATCAAACTAGAAAATAAGACATATGCTGATAATAATTTACCTGATAGAATTATTGAAAACGCTCATGGCATCATGACTAAAAAAGCTTTTAAGAGGCCTACCTTAACCGAGCTCCCCAGCATGCCAACCAGCCCGAGCACCCCTTGAAAGGTGCACTCTTCCACTTTTGTCTGGGTGATGGAGCAGGGGCTGGTGGTGAGGATCCTCTCCTTCACTAGCCCCACCACCTCAGCCCGCTTCTCTATCTGCCTCACCAGCACGTGCTGCATGTCCACCAACCTGATGTGAAGAGAAGCTGGTGTTAATGGTTTGAGACAGACTGATTGACAAATGGAAAATGACACCACGCCGCTGTGGTCTGAGGTATTTAGCATGTGATGCCTGAAGTCCACATTTATAAGGAGTTCATTACATCACCAGTGAAGACCTCATCTCCTTACTCTTCGATGACAACCTGTATATGTGAAAGCAGTTTTTAAAAATAAAATAAAAAGTTTTTAAAATATTACATCATACCTGTTGTCAGAGTCAAGTAATAGCTTCTTCACATTCACCTCCTCTTTCTTCAGCTGGCCAAAACATGACTGGAGCTTGGTAGTGCCACGCCCCTCCAGTCTGATACTTGCAGAGCCGACTTCGGGGCCCAGATCACTAGCAAGTTTAGCTCCGTATGTCCCCTTGTAGGTCAAGAATTCTGACTCTGACACTCCTGAAAAAACACAAGGTGTTACCCCGATATCAGCTTTGTTGAAATGTGTCTGGGAACTCGCATGCACTACATTTTTCCTGTAACAACTTAAGTTTGAATCTGCACACCTACCCGGCATGAGCTCCTTGTCACCCAGCAACAAGTCGCCGAGAGTGAAATCTGTTGGTTGGTACCTGGGTCTCTGCCAAAACCAGCGCTTGCGTTTGATCACGAGGGCCATGGGAACCAGTTTGTGAGAGTCATTTACTCGAGAGACGTGGATGAGAAGTCCTTCGGGGTCAATCTCACGGACGAAGTTGGCAGTGGCCTTGGAAAACATGACTCCAGAAGACGAGCACCGCAGACAGCTGGAAGAGAAAGAAATTAAAGGTTTCAGCTTGGGCTTAATTTCTCTCCAACAGCAACCCTAATGTGTTTTATTTAAAAATCTAAACAACTGTAGGTGATTTCCAGTTGGTATTCTCTCCAGCTCTCTACCCTTGATTGTTTATGAGTCACTGAGAGGCCTGTGTCGGGGGGGTTAACCCCCAAATAGCAAGAAATCAGTGACTCATCGGACATAGAGGAAGTCCCCTGGATGTTAGGATACAACTTTAACAACAAAAACATGAGTGCACACAGACACCAAGGTCCACTAATACTGCAGTCTCAGCTTTCATTGTTTAAATATTCACAATATTTGGATGTACAATAAAGAGGGGTGGGGAGTTTGGAGGAGAAGGCTGCGCAACATTAGATGGTAGAGGAATGTTAAATAAAAGAGGACGATGGAGCTCAGGCTTTTGAAAACTATTCTCATGAATAAAATGTAAGAATGTTCAACTTCGCTGTTGAACATTAAGGCAAACTAACCATGACTTGACATAGATTCACTGTGTTGAGTCACTTGGGTTAAATTATTAAGCAGCTGCCGTAATGTCACCTGGGACTGTCCTTTAACCCCAAACTCGCACTGTAAAAGCTCACATTCTGAATATTTCATGTTTCTTTTGTTTAGTGTGTTCTGAACCAAGGAAACAAGGGGCATAAAAGGAATAACTGTCACATGCAGTAACAATGTACCAATAGGCGATAGATAGATAGATAGATAGATAGATAGATAGATAGATAGATAGATAGATAGATAGATAGATTTTCGGCTCAGGCTCCACGACCACCCCCATACACACGTGTGCCAGCCCTTTTCCCGGCAGCCCACTTTTTCCACTTCAAGCTTTCAAGCTACAGTAGCTGGGGCCGCGCGCGAGCTGGCGTAGTGAGTGAGGTCAATTGCGCACGAGCCTCAAGACGCATGACTTGGATGAATTTAAAGGGAGCCGGAGACTCAAAAATACTCTGACCGCAAAATAACAACACAGGTTGGGACAGTGAAACCATTCTTAGTCTCGCCATCGCACAGAAACACAGACTGACACGCAGTAGCCAATAAATAAAGTTTTTACCTTTCTCAGAGTTGACAGTCAGTAACGGAATGTGACCGATGATGACGTAAACAATAAAACCCAAAAGTAGTCCTTTGGCTTTCTAAGTGAAAGATCACACACAGCTATTTGAGCAAATGACGAAACTGTGAAGCAAATCCCCGAAAGACAGCACTGTCCGGGAGAAGCTACAGGCGAGTGCTGAGAGGACTGTATAGCTAACCCTAACCCTAACAGAAGACCGCCTCCTGGAGTTAATTCTAATCATATGAGCACACTGGGATGTGTATCTGTGCGTATCTGTGTGTCCGTTTCGGAACATGAGAAGTTTGAGGTTTTAGTTTTTTTCGTGAATTGTCGAGTGGAAAAAACTTATTAATATTATTCATTCATATGTGATGAGTAATCTTTCAGCAAAAGTTTATTCAGCAGCCAAACCGCATCTTGCCTCACAACACCACCTCTGCAGTTGAGGTGGTCAAGCAATTTTAAGTTTTTATTTATTTATTTAAAATGAGCCAGAACATTAAGCTCAAAGAGAGTTATATGTCAAAAAGATAATTTAAAAATAATAATAAATGAACTTAACATACTCATATTTAAAGGATACGAGAAAGTTTCCACTTAAGTATGCACGCCCACACATCCACATTTACACTATGGTTGTTAGGGTCTGTGAGCCAGCATTTGGACTTTATTTTGTATTTTTGATTTTCTTATATTATAATGGAAATATGGTAAGTTCTTGTGCTGTAGGTACTAATAGTTAGGATTTAGCTGACTTTTATTCTAGTTTTTGTTTCATCAATTTCTCGTGATTTATGAGTCTTTTTCTTGTCCTCGGTGTTTTACTTTTAATTATGCCCGTGATCTCATCTCCCCGTGTGTCCACTTCTCCTGATCACCTGCTGTGTGTATTTAGTCTCTGTGTTTTCATTCAGGTCGTCTGTTTTCCTCCCTCTAAGTAACTTCAGGTTTAAAGTCTTTAATGATTCTGTTCAGGTCATGTTCATTTTTCGTGTTTTCTATTCATAGTTCCTGGCATGTATCTCTTCAGAATCATGTTCACGTCACTTTTGTCATTGTCATCACAGTTTATGTTTTCCCAGTTTAGGTTTTAGTTTTAGTTCTCACCCCCTGTTCGCCTTGCTTTGTTTTTGTATTCATGTTTTTCCAGCCTAATAAACGGCTTGCCTTTTGTTTAAAGTCAGTTCTGTCTCCTTTTGGGTGTGCATTTGGGCCCTCCATCTCACTCCAACACAGTCTACTTCCGCGGACCGTGACATATGGTACTATAACAGGCTCTGTGATCAGGAGGTTTAAAGTTCATAAAAGTAATTTTCATGTTCATTAGTGAAAATGTAGATGCATTTTGTGTCTAAAACAATGTCTCCAAGTCATTATGAAGAAAGTGCATTAAAAAAGTATATTTAAAATATTGTACGTAGTAACAAATTAATTTCATCCAGGAATAGCTCATTCTGGAAACCTACTGTGGGATCATGCAATAATCATGTGTTTGGAAGATGGGCGAAATGAACAAAGTACAATAATAAGGTTTCACACATAAAGGTTAAAACTGTACTGAACTGAAAAAGACAAAGTTGGCACCAGCATAATACGGTCACACAGTTTCTCTGAAAATGATAAGAAACTTTATTTTTCATTTATATTTAATATATTTATGAGTTACGTTTAGTTTTAAAACTATCTGCATTTACCTTTTCTTTCTTTCTTTTCCACTACTTTCTATCAATATTTTAATCATTTATGTTTTCTTATTCTCATTATCTGAATTATCTGACTATTTCAAATTTTCCACTTTGATCATTCTTCAGTGTTTTATGATCCATATTTTCAGTGCAGAAAACAGGTCACCTAACATAACATGTTGTTACTATGTTATTACTGCTTTTGTAATTTCCTGCTTTATAAAATAACTTTAAATGTAGAATTAAAACTACAGTCATGAAATAACTGTGCCTCCACAATTTCTTAATAATATTGGGGGAAATTATTTTTTAAAAAAGAAGAAGAAACCACAGGGAGGAAAAACAGCTTATTAAAAAACAGGAGGTGAAACACAAATATACCTGCTCACAAAAAGATGATGATGATTGTTTTTGATTCATATTTAAAAATCATCAACGGTGATTTTTTTAAATTTTGGATATTTGTTTATAAACAGAACATTAAAAAAAAGCATAAAGAAAAAGAAAAATTGTTCTGGCGCTAAATTTATGATACTGAACTCCTCTGTGAAATCTTCCTTTAATTGTAGATGTTACGAAATTCTGTACTTTACAGTGGAAAGTTTTAAACAACAGACATCATTGTAATATTACATGCATTATTTTTGTATTGCAAATGTTCTGAAATTATCTATTTGATTATGGAGTGATGATGTAATTGGATTTTTGCCACCAACTTTGATTACAAATATTACTAAATGTATGTTAGGTCCTGACTGACCAACACATTTTCAAATGGCAAACAGCACAACAGTCTGGTGTGCCATTTTTACTATTTAAGTTCTGTCTTTTACATCTTAAGTTTCAGTTCCTTTAAGAGTACAGGGTTGGGTCATTCTGGCCTCCAGCGATCCCTTTAGTTGGCATAGGAGTGTAACTAATAAAGGTCCTCTTTTCTCTAAGTCAGAATAACTGATGATTGAGGCAACAGGATGCCTGCTTGTCACCACGTCCCACTTCTTTTTTTCACACATTTTCATTTTTCTTCCAAGTGTCCAAGAAAGTAAGATTAATAACCTGACTTTGCCTCCATTAACAGTACTCGCAGTACACATTGACTATACTGCACAGAAATCAGAATATATTTGATCAATCTGAGACTATTAAAGCAAACTGCAGTGACGCACACATGGACACACTATTTTTTATTAGGTACACCTCACCTTTCCAGTACCAGGTTGGACCCCATTTAGCCTTAAGAGCTGCTTTCATTCTTTGGTAGTACGGATTCAACAAGCTGCTGGAAACATTCATCAGAGATTTTGGCCCATATTGACATTACAGCATTACACAGTTGCTGCACAGGTGCTCTGTTGGATTGAGATCTGATAACTGTGGAGGTCATTTGAGTAGAGTGAACTCATTCCCGTGTTTAAAGAACCAGTTTGAGATCATTTGAGCTTTGTGACATACAACGTTATCCTGCTGAAAGCAGCTATGAGAAGAAGGGTATACTGGGGTCATAAAGGGATGGACATGGTCTACAACAACACTCAAGTAGGCTGTGGTGTTTAAACGATGCTCAGTTGGTACACTAAGACCAGCCTGAATCATTCATATTGGCAAGATTGAACCATGCTTTTCTGTTGTTTATACAAAAGTCTGACCATACCATCTGCATGCCAAACCAGGCTCATCAGACCAGGCAATGTTTTTCAAATCTTCTGTTTTTAATGAGCCTTTGCGAATCGTAGCTTCAGTTTCCTGTTCTTAGTCGACATGAGTGTGACCCGGGGTGGTCTTCTGCTGACATTTTGTGCATTCAGAGATGCTCTTCTGCATGCCTTGGTTGTAAAAAACTGGTTATTTGAGGTACTGTTGCCTTTAATCTGCTGGAAGCAACCAGGCTCAGACCTTTCTGATGTCTGGCATCAAGAAGGGATTTTCACCCAGAGCTGCTTCTAAGTGGATATTTGAATGGAATCAGTTGCTGGCAAGTGATTGGCTGATTAGATATTTGCATAAAGGAGCAGTTGAACAGGTGAATCTTCTAATGTGGCTGAGAGTGTAGTCTTTAATTTGTTAGTGCGTTATCGCAGTGGGAATCTGCTACCGGTCCAGATTCCCACTGCAATAATTAATATTATGCATCAATGTGTTCTTTGAGTATACCTTTATAATCTGAGCCAATATGACCCAGAAAGGAAGAAATTTATAAAGTAGCCATATGCTTCCTCACTGGGTTTTTAAGTTTTCACAACAGAGTCATGTGGTGGCTGAGGGAGATGAAACTACAGAGAATGCTCACCTGATCCTGCAGCCCCCCCACCCCTGTTTCACAAAGCTTTGTAGCTAGTTTGATCTCATCCTGCTTTCACCCTGCAACTCCCCTGACTCTGTGGGGGGCACACAGTCAGCACCAAATGGCAAAAAGACACACTTAGCAACTAGCTGATGAATATACTGGAGCATTTAGCAGATAAAGCCCTACATTTTCTCCTCAGAGTTCTTGAAGACCACAAATTAAATTAAAGGTAACAACAGTGATTTTGCTTATGACGTCTGGGTCTTTCAAAAAGTTTACCACATGCTAATTTTAAGGTTAAATCTCAGTGCTTTTTAACTTGTTTTTGAGCCCTACAAGCATCTAAAACCAAACTGCAGGGTAAAATATTTTACTATGTATCCTTAAAATGTGCCAAATGATCAACAAATAAATTAAATACAGCATTTATGTGATTTTTACCAAATATATTTCTGTGCAGGCATTACTCACAGAAATGTTTCAGGTATTTTAGCACAAAAGGAGGTTTATGGTCCCATGAAATAAAGATATTCTCTTTCTGATTGACAGGCATGCCTTTGAGAAGATCTTGAGAACTAAGAGCAAGTAAAAGTGGAGGTTTTTGGAAAACAGGAGGACACTGAGGATGTCTGAATTATGTGTCCAGTCCAGTTTGTTGTTCAGATAAACAACAAGGTACCTGTAGCTGTCCACAGCCTCAATGTCCATACCTTGGATGTTCAGTGGTTGCAGTGGAGGATGGTTGTGCCTGTGGAAGTCTACCACCAGCTCCTTGGTTTTACTGGCGTTGATCTGGAGGTAGTTCAGCTGGCACCAGTCCACAAAGTCTTGGGTCAGTCCTCTGTACTCCTTGTCGTCCCCATCAGTGATGAGGCCAACTATTGCAGAGTCATCAGAGAACTTCTGCAGGAATAGTGGGTGGAGTTGTGGGAGAAGTCTGCAGTGTAGATGGTGAAGAGGAACGGAGCCAGAACCATTCCCTGTGGGGCCCCCGTACTGCAGACGACCCTTTCCGACACACAGCCCTGAGTTCTCACATACTGTGGTCAATCGGTGAGGTAGTCTAAAAATCCAGGTAGTCAGGTGA